ATACATCGATTTAAAATAATAAAACGAGGGTTATAAGTGTATAAAATTGAAAAAAAACGAACGATCACGTGACGCGCGATAGAAAATACTTCCGCGTCACGTGATGCTCTATGGAACGCATGCGTTCCGTTTCAGTGGAACGCACGCGTCATAGAAGCGTCATGTGGAGGAGGAACTGTCCGACCATACTAGGGAATGGAAAGGACAAGAGATGAGGCTGTCCGGCTGCAAAAGCAGGCAAACAGCCACAGCTGCATCATATGAGACCACCGTCTGCCTGCACAAGCAGGCAGACAGCCAGCCCCATACAAGTTCGAACCCAGTAGGGGACAGCAGAATTATAAAGCATATCCATTTATATAAATGATCTTAAGTATGAAACAAACAAAGTTAAAAACAGCTGTTTTTGCAAATTTATAGTAAATAAGGTCCAAAAGGGGATAAGTATAGAGAATTAAAATATTATGGTAAAAAAGAGATTCAAAAGGATAAATGCATAAGATTACAATAAGCATAAGAGTAGTAATAGTAAAATTCTATTTACATACAGGCACTTTGCAATATGATAAAATGACAGTTGGGAAAGTAAAATAATGTTGTAAATTCTAAAATTGAAAATTAAAATTAAAAAGGTATCATTGATTATAAAAATCACCACAAATTACAAAAAGATTAAAAAGATCAAAATCAATATTAAGACCAGTGGGAGCAAGAGTTTTTAGGTTATATGCCCATTCCATTTCTTTTTTACCTAGAACTTTTTTAATGTCTCCACCTCTCCCTGGGACATTGCAAATATCTATGCCAATACATTTAAGAAGTTTCTGATTTTTTCCATGTTGTAGAAAGTGTTTTGAAACTGAGTGATTTTCGTAACCTTTTAAAATATTTCTACAATGTTCAGCCAAACTGGTTTTTAAATCTCTGGTGGTCATCCCAACATATTGAAGCCCACAGGGACATTCTAAAAGATACATTAAATCTTTTTCGTATTACAGTGAATAAAATGCTTTATTTGATATGTTTTTTGTGTTCTTGTGGATAAAAACAATGTAGTTTTAGATTTAATAGTATCACTAGTGCGTTTATATACTATACATCTATTGCATTTAAAAAAACCTCTGGGTTTAGTTAAAAAGGTGGGGGGGCTGGTGGTTGAAGGGATATGATTATGTTTGGTATAATTACTTGTAAGGATAGACTTAAAGCTGGGTGCCCATCTAAATATAACTTGTGGTTTCTCAGGGACAATTCCAGCCAGAGTCTCATCCTGTTTCAATATAACATTACTTTTGTTATTGAAATCAAATATAATTGGCAATACAGGAGCGGTTTTGGTTTCTTTATAGTTTTTATATTCTAATAATTCTGATCTGTTGGTTTGACTGATATTTTTTAACGTCTGGTCTAAATTATTTTTTTTGAAGAAATTTGTCAGACAGTAGTTGGGACTGTTCCTCGAAATCTTGAGTGAGGGAACAGTTTCTGCGTAGACGGAGAAATTGGCTCTTAGGTATTCCTTGAAGCCAGGGTTTATGATGACAACTAGTCACATCGATAACATTATTGGTACATACTTTTTAAAAAAAAGTTTTGGTGTGAATTTGTTCATTCTTAATAAAAATTTCCAGATCTAAAAAGTGAATAGAGGATTTACTATAATCCCAAGTTAAAACAATACCTTTGTCATTGAAATTTAAGTGTTGTAAAAACTGTATTAAAAGGTCTTCTGGGCCATCCCAAATAAAAAACAAATCATCGATATATCTAAAATATGTGACCAGGTTGCCTGCGAGCCATGTCCTCCCAAAATGGCAGTAGATTCCCAATCTGCCATAAAAAGGTTGGCATAGCTGGGGGCAAACCTGGTGCCCATGGTGCTGCCTTGTTTTTGTAAATAAAAAGAGTCTAAAAACCAGAAATAGTTGTTTTTTTAAAATAATATTAATACCCTGGATAATAAAATCTATTTGTTGATCTGGAATGTAATTTTCTGCTTTTAAAATTTTTTCAACTGTTGAGCAGCCTTTATCGTGGGGAATGTAGAAGAATCCAAAAGAGAAAGATTAGAAAGACAATAAACCCACCAAATGAGAACGATCTGGGCATTTTTAATTCATCCCAAAAAGTGCTAACATCTACCCAAATATCAGTCCTTACTAAAGGCCTCAAATTTGCCCCCACGAATCCTTTTAAACCTTTTAAAGCTTTTATAGATATTAACAAATTTGTGAGAAAAGCCACTCTTTTTTTTACTTGTAGGAACAGAGAAATCCCCACCTCACAACCTCTAGTTACCTCACCTACAGGATCACCCAAAATCATTTCTACCTCATTAAAGAAAAAATCTACTTTTTTCCCTTCTAGTTTTAAATCAGGTCCCTTAGAAGTGTTTGAAAAACTAGTTACAAAAGATCTAGAAAAAATCCATAAAAAGAAATTTGATCGAGATAACCTTACACATCTAGAACGGAAAGCACAACAACAATTACAGAAAGACGAAGCTATTATCATAAAACCCGCAGATAAAGGGGGAGGTATAGTTATTTTAACAAAAGACATGTATATAAAAGAAGCCATGAGACAATTAAATGACCCTATTGTCTATGAAAAATTATCACAAGACCCTACAACCAAAATTCAACAAATTTTAACCTCCTTTTTAACTTATCGTCGAGAACAGAATATTTTTAACAAACAGGAATTTGAATATCTTAATGTGTGTCATCCTATTATTCCTGTAATTTATTTTTTACTGAAAATTCATAAAGATATCTCCAACCCCCCAGGTAGGCCTATTGTATCAGGGATCAACTCGATTTTATCTAATTTATCTGAATACCTGGATATCCTTTTACAGCCTTCAGTGAAACGTACAAAGTCATATCTCAAAGACTCTATGACTCTACTTCGTTTTCTAAATAATTTGAAATGGAAAAATACATACACCTTAGTGACCTGCGATGTACAATCTTTATATACCATCATTCCCCACGATAAAGGCTGCTCAGCAGTTGAAAACATTTTAAAAGCAGAAAATTACATTCCAGATCAACAAATAGATTTTATTATCCAGGGTATTAATATTATTTAAAAAAAACAACTATTTCTGGTTTCTAGACTCTTTTTATTTACAAAAACAAGGCACAGCCATGGGCACCAGGTTTGCCCCCAGCTATGCCAACCTTTTTATGGCAGATTGGGAATCTACTGCCATTTTGGGAGGACATGGCTGGCAGGCAAACCTGGTCACATATTTTAGATATATCGATGATTTGTTTTTTATTTGGGATGGCCCAGAAGACCTTTTAATACAGTTTTTACAACACTTAAATTTCAATGACAAAGGTATTGTTTTAACTTGGGATTATAGTAAATCCTCTATTCACTTTTTAGATCTGGAAATTTTTATTAAGAATGAACAAATTCACACCAAAACTTTTTTTAAAAAAAAAGTATGTACCAATAATGTTATCGATGTGACTAGTTGTCATCATAAACCTTGGCTTCAAGGAATACCTAAGAGCCAATTTCTCCATCTACGCAGAAACTGTTCCCTCACTCAAGATTTCGAGGAACAGTCCCAACTACTGTCTGACAAATTTCTTCAAAAAAATTACCCTAAAAATAATTTAGACCAGACATTAAAAAATATCAGTCAAACCAACAGATCAGAATTATTAGAATATAAAAACTATAAAGAAACCAAAACCGTTCCTGTATTGCCAATTATATTTGATTTCAATAACAAAAGTAATGTTATGAAGAAGATCATAAAGAAACATTGGCATATATTGAAACAGGATGAGACTCTGGCTGGAATTGTCCCTGAGAAACCACAAGTTATATTTAGAGGGGCACCCAGCTTTAAGTCTATCCTTAGAAGTAATTATACCAAACATAATCATATCCCTTCAACCCCCAGCCCCCCCACCTTTTTAACTAAACCCAGAGGTATTTTTAAATGCAATAGATATATAGTATGTAAACGCACTAGTGATACTATTAATCTAAAACTACATCGTTTTTATCCACAAGAACACAAAAAAACATATCAAATAAAGCATTTTATTCACTGTAATACAAAAAATTTAATGTATCTTTTAGAATGTCCCTGTGGGCTTCAATATGTTGGGATGACCACCAGAGATTTAAAAACCAGATTGGCTGAACATTGTAGAAATATTTTAAAAGGTTACGAAAATCACTCAGTTTCAAAACACTTTTTACAACACGGAAAAAATCCAAAACTTCTTAAATGTATTGGCATAGATATTTGCAATGTCCCATGGAGAGGCGGAGACATTATTTATTTATTTATTTATAAAATATTTTACCAGGAAAGATACATTGAGATTTCTCTCGTTTTCAAGTATGTCCTGGGTCCACAAATCATTGCATTGTTACATTAGGTACAACAAAATACAAAAACAATATTAATACACAATATATACAAAATTTAACATAGAACAGGCAGGAAATATATAATCAACCATGACACGTGCATTCTGTTTTGAGGTATGTAGAGAGGGATCTCTTAAATGACTTTAGGCTTAGGGAAGATTTTAAATTGTGCGGGAGGTCGTTCCACAATTGCGGCGCTCTGTAGGAGAAGGAGGATCGGGCCGCTTTCTTTTTGTATTGAGGTAGACTAAGTAAAGTGCTTGTACTGGATCGGAGCTTATAGAAAGTGGGAACAGCTAAGGAAAGCATTTTGTTCAGGTAGGGTGGGAGTTTCCCAGAGAAGCTCTTAAAAACAAGGCTGGAAAGATGAAGGGTGCGTCTGGATTCCAGCGACAGCCAGTTTAGTTCCTTTAGCATGTCACAATGATGGGTCCTGTAATTACATTGTAGCACAAATCGGCAGAACGAGTTATACAATGTGTTGAGTTTATTAATGTGGGATTGCGATGCAGACGCATATACTACATCCCCATAATCAATGATTGGCATCAGCATTTGCTGTACAATCTTTTCCTTTACTGTAGGGCTTAGGCAGGCTTTGTTTCTGTACAGGGCACCTAATTTTGGATAAAGTTTAGATGCAAGCTTTTCTATGTGCAGGCCAAAAGATAGATTGGGGTCTAATATCATACCCAAGTATTTGAAAGAGTGGACTGCGGTCAGTGTGCCATTTGAATTTGTTTTGATGGATAGGTGGGGATTGTGTAATTTGTGCAATTTAGGTACCGTTCCAAAGATCATTGTGACAGTTTTGTCAGTGTTCAGGAAGAGTTTGTTTTTTGCGATCCACTTTTCTACCTCTGTAAACTGGTCTTGGAGCAAAGCCTCAAGTTGCGGTAGATTGGGTTTGCTCGCATAGATTACCGTGTCATCTGCGTACATGTGTACATTTGAGGATTGGCAGACATAAGGCAGATCATTTATAAATAATGTAAATAGTAGGGGGCTGAGAATGGAACCCTGGGGAACACCACACGTGACTGGGAGAGGGAGGGAGTCACTGTCAGAAATGGACACATATTGCGAGCGATCCGATACATACGATCGAAACCAGTTTAAAGAATGATCACCAATACCTGAGTTTTCGAGTTTGTGCAGTAGAATGTCGTGGTCTACTGTGTCAAAGGCCTTAGCAAAATCAAGGAAAATAGCTCCAGTTAGGGCTCCTTGTTCCATGCCAGTTTGGATGTCATTGCAAACTTTTAGGAGGGCAGTTGTAGTGGAGTGATTCTGGCGAAAGCCCGATTGATCAGGGGTCAGATAGTTTAATTGTTGGTAGTACTCACAAAGTTGCGTATGGACACATTTTTCTAAGATTTTTGACAATACCGGGAGCAATGATATTGGGCGATAGTTAGAAACCAAAGTAGTGTCACCACTTTTATGGATAGGCACTACTCTCGCAGTCTTCCAAAGTTTGGGTATGTATCCAGACACCAAGGATTCGTTAATTAGAGTTGAGACGGGTTTAGCAATTGCCGGCGCACTGAGCTTCAACAGCATTGCTGGGATTTGATCAGGTCCGGACTGGTTTTTCATTTTTAGATTATTAAGATGTTTTTTAATGACACTAACAGGTACAGGTCTAAAATTAAACTTATCTATATTGGGCCTTTGCAAATTTAGTGGGGCCTGATCCACATTTGTAGTTTCAGGATGCGTGTCATTTATTAGCTTGTCAATCAGGGCAGTAGAGCATCCAACAAAATAATTGTTAAAGGCATTTGCAACATCTAAAGGAAGTTGCAGGGTTTGGTTACCCACTTTGACAGTGGAGGGTTGGGAGTGGATTGGGGGAGTTTGTAGTTTATTTATGACTTTCCAAAAGTTTCTAGGGTTTGAGATGTTACTGTTCTAAAAAAGTTCTAGGTAAAAAAGAAATGGAATGGGCATATAACCTAAAAACTCTTGCTCCCACTGGTCTTAATATTGATTTCGATCATTTTCAAGTGAGAACTTGCCCTGTGGGCAATTTTTATAATCAATGATACCTTTTTAATTTTCATTTTTATTTTCAATTTTAGAATTTACAACATCATTTTACTTTCCCAACTGTCATTTTATCATATTGCAAAGTGCCTGTATGTATATAGAATTTTACTATTACTACTCTTATGCTTATTGTAATCTTATGTATTTATCCTTTTGAATCTCTTTTTTACCATAATATTTTAATTCTCTATACGTATCCCCTTTTGGACCTTATTTACTATAAATTTGCAAAACCATCTGTTTTTAACTTTGTTTGTTTCATACTTAAGATCATTTATATAAATGGATATGCTTTATAATTCTGCTGTCCCCTACTGGGTTCGAACTTGTATGGGGCTGGCTGTCTGCCTGCTTGTGCAGGCAGACGGTGGTCTCATATGATGCAGCTGTGGCTGTCTGCCTGCTTTTGCAGGCGGACAGCCTCATCTCTTGTCCTTTCCATCACCTAGTATGGTCGGACAGTTCCTCCCTCCACATGACGCTTCTATGACGCGTGCGTTCCACTGAAACGGAACGCATGCGTTCCATAGAGTATCACGTGACACGGAAGTATTTTCTATCGTGCGTCACATGATCGCTCGTTTTTTTCAATATTATACACTTATAACCCTTGTTTTATTATTTTAAATCGATGTATAGATTACTCTTAAATGTATTACCTAAATATCACTGTATTACCCATTGGGAAAAAAAATAAATAATTTTTTTTGTCTTTTTTAATAATATGTGGAATTTTAATGACGTCATTTTGGCGGGAATTTGAAACCTATAGTATTACTATACACTATATAAACTTATGTATGTCAGGTATGCCCCCCCTTTTATTACTATCTACTTGAAGAAGCCTGTTAAGGCGAAACGCGTTTAGATATTGTTCTTAATTTTAATAATAAAGAAATTTCATTGGCATATAACAATTTATTGCCATTTTCTTTCTTTTTACCTGATTCTTTATATATTTTGCATATTTTACAAGAAGTGCAAAGAATCCATAGGTGGGGATTATACCACCCAAACGCTTACACTGAGCAGTTTGAGCCTGCTCTATATTACATATTCAGCTATCAAACCCTACTCCATATATCCTTGAAGTGGGGATCATTCCACTTTACGTGCGCAATATCAGAGCTGATTTTGGGTCTGAAAAATGTGAGTAAGACTGATTTTATTTTTACTATACAATCAATCTACCGATTTACTGTGCCATTGGAGTTTTGTTTTATTTTTCCCTACATATGCTGAACTCCCAACACCTATTTGTGAAGATTTGATCCCACCAACCATCCTAAGAATATTTCTCTACACGTGGGACCTACCATTACGGACTGTGATAAGTTTCCTTGGGACTATTGCCAACCATTCATTTTATCTTCTTTTTATCTTATACTTTTATCTTTGATTATTTATCTTATATTTATATTATAATTTTAGTATATATTGTCTTTTATATATTTTAGGCGCACCCTTATTTCTCTGTTTGTTTTATGTTGTTTGTTACCATTAGTTGATTATTGGGGACTCCCCTTTGAGGAGTGCAGCCTTTTATTTATATTTTTTTGTGGCAATTTAGCACTGATTTCTTCCTTTTTTCAATTTATTGTGGGTGGGCTATATTACTGGTTGTGCTTCGTGGGTGGGCTGCTGGACTAACCAGGGCACTGACCGGCAGGAGGTCAGATACCCTGTTAGTCTGTCTGGAAAAGGGGAGAGCTGTGACAAGAGCAATCTCGCCACATTGCATTGGAGGAGCCTGGTTGCCCGCCTGCCCCCTTTAGAGTATGGCCCGGACTTTTAAAATACTTTATTTTCCCTGCAGAAAGGCTTCTTCATGCCTTTCTGCCAGGGTGTTCGGTAGATTTTATCTACCGAACAAAATACCGAAGGCGCGACCACCGGGAAGCTGGCGTGTGCCTTCAATTCACCTCCCTAAAGCTAGCGTGTGCCGTCAATTGACCACCCAGTAGCTGCGGTTAACCGCAGCTTAATTGTCTGTTATTGGGTGGCCGTGGTTACACTAAGCGGCCGCTAGGTGGCAGTGTTATGGAGCTCCCTGGACGGCCAGCGGTGCTCAGCCCAGAATCAGTGCACTAAAAGCGGACAATTTTACGTGCAGGCACCGCTGAGCCTCCAGCCTTCACTGCTTCTATTCATGGCTGTTTAGTAGAACGCTGGATTGATCGGGACTTTTTCTATTTGAATGTTTTAACCCAGATAGCTATGCCATGGAAACTATTCGTGTAATTAAAGACTTTGGATCCATGGCAATTGAACTGTGTGAATAGGATCTGAGCGCTATTTGGTAGTTATGTGCGCTCAGATCCCAGCTATCTGGGGATGTGTGACATGTCTGTATTTTATGTATAAAATGTAACTTTGTATATTTTAAAGTATTTTACTGTCTTTGTGTCCCCACGTGTATAATAGCGATTTGCCTCTGTCCTGGGAGATAATTGGATTACTTCCCAATTATCTCCAGGATAGAGGAAGGGATATTAGGATGCATTTTGGGGATGTTTTACTTCTGTGTGTCTGAATGTGATACATGTCTGTCTGTGTTACAGTCTCCCATCTGGTCCCCTAGGTGAGTGTCCACCAGGTGGGAGACCTGCATTAATACTGGGCAGCTAGCCCTGAATAAATCATACCACTGCTTAACCCTCAACACAGAGCCTTGTCTCGTTCTTGGGGGGATTTACTGTATGCTGTTAGAGACTGATTGCTAGGAGTGTAAGCCGCTTGGGTGCTTTTCCTATTCGTCTGCTGGCAGCTATTTGTGAGGTTCCAGTTCTGGAGTTTAGAGTGCTATTTTGTATGCAGTTCGGGAGTTTGGAGCATTCCCTTGTAGTGATGTCCTGAACGGTTCGCCAAACGGTTCGCCGCGATGGCGAACATATGCGGTAAACTTTGACCCTGTACCTCACTGTCAGCAGACACATTCCAGCCAATCAGCAGCAGACCCTCCCCCCCAGACTCTCCCACCTCCTGGACAGCATACATTTTACATTCATTGTGAAGCTGCATTCTTAGTGAGCTGTCCAGGAGGTGGGAGGATCTGGGAGGGAGGGTCTGCTGCTGATTGGCTGAAATGTGTCTGCTGACTGTGAGGTACAGGGTCAAAGTTTACCGCATATGTTCGCCATCCGCGGTATTCAGTTCGGGAGTTTGGTGTTCTGCAGTAGCTATGCCTGTGTCTCTGGAAGGGAAGATCTACTAAACGGCGAGTTCACTCCTTTATGCCTGGAGTGTCGTAATAAGTCCCCTGACCGCTAAGGGGAAAAACCTCCTGTCAGTCTGGAACTCTGGCTGGGCATGGTAGAAACAGTCAGAGTCCCCTGCCAGCTAAGGGGGAAAACCACAGAGATCCCAGGACTGGAAGGACTTCTTTTTTATATTTGACAATTTTTTTACATTTAATTGTACTATTTTAGTTTTTATCGAAGCATACATTGGTCCCCCTGTTCCCAGATAGTCTTTCTTCCCCCCAACCTGGGCCTAATACCCTGAGATGGAGATACATACGGTGGATTGGTAAAGTTAACAACATTTTATATACAATTGTCAATGTGTATTTCCCCAACACAGGTCAGCTAACTTTTTTTAGGAATATAATGGAATTGGTGAATGAGAATATGAAAGGGACGTTAGTGATGTGTGGAGATATGAACTTAGTTATGGATGGTGACTTAGATAATGCAAGGGAAAATTTAGACAAACCCCATTGGAGAGACAGTGACAGACTAGCTGTGAAATGTTCGAAATATATGGTTGAATGCGGGCTGTATGATCCATGGAGATTAATGCATGAGAATGAGAGAGACTTTACTTTTTACTTCGTACCCAAGAATATGTATTCCAGGCTGGACAGGTTTCTGATATTTTAGATATCAATTGGTCTGACCATGCTCCCATAACTTTGCATATAGATGAAATGGTTTTTCCTCCCCCAACAG